GGTGTTCAGAATAAAGGGAAAAGATGGAAAACCAACTTAACCAAAACCCGGGAGAGGTTGGTCTTTGAGCTCAAGGACAAAACAACTCAACCTCTGAAGGGAGTATATAATAGGAATGGGTATGAAAATTTTGGGTGGAAAGATAGGATTAATGGCCCTAGTTTAATTGGTAAAATGAGATTAATTGGTAGTCAAATGCAAATGGAGGTGAGGGTTAAGGCTAACACAGGAAGATTTAGGGAAACGGACAGGTGAGATCCTTAAATGTAATAAAAGGACAAGCAATTTTATGAATAAGCCATTTATAAAATCAACAAGGAAATCAAGACTGGGTAAAAACAAAAGGCTAGGAGGGACTGAGAAAAAATGGTGGTTAAATAAAAATTACAGGACTTTATGATGTCAACTATCAGTTGAGAGTGAGGACAGAACTTGACAGATAGGAGGTTCAGTTAGAGGCTATTGAAGTTTAGATTCTAACAGCTCTGGATGCAAATATTCAGAGGTTATTTGAAAGGCTTCAGAGAGGTTGGTTGAAATGGCAGAGGTGAAAGTTAATTAATAAAAGCAAGATGATGGGGTTGGAATACTGAATACAGGTCATCTACATGAGTACGTATCAGAAAATAACAAAATTGCTGGCATTCTCTGGGAAATTGTTTTCGTTTGGGAAAAATACACTTGAAACAAGAAAAAAGTGCTTGAAGTAGATGCTCCATTTTCCATGGGTGTCACAGCTTAAGAAGAGCAGGGACACACTCTGATGATTACCCTGGAAGGGGTGAGGGTGCTTGCAGAGGATAGGGAAGAAAGGAAGGGTGGAGTGGAGGAAAAGCTTAAGAGAAACTCAGTGGTGAAGACCTTGTTAAGCAGGAACATGTCTCATTTTGACTTGCTTGTGGTTGAGTGTGCAAGGTGATCCACCCTCCTTGCCTCTAAAAATGGATCACTCCACAGCTCAACTTAGTTTACTCTTCTCACCAATGCCTTGTGAATTGTGATCAGAAATGGAGTGTGTCATCATCAGGCGAAAGCAGTAGGAGACCCACCTTCCCTCTGCCACAGGGTAGCCTAGTCATCCTGGGTCACAGTGAGTCGGCAAGCAGACCCCAGGCTACCTACAAGACATGTGGAATTAAGTTGTCCTAAACTACCTACTTTGAGGACTATTTGTATATACTTTATATATACTTATAATATCCAATCAACTGCTGTCCTCTCAATTTTCCTTGAAACATCCAGACTTGTATTCCAAAGCTATGCTGGTTCTGTATAACCTGTGTTAACCCAGTAATGTCCTAACTGATCAACAAAATGCCTTACCTTCCCTCCTACCCATTCTCTAAACTGAAGCTAGTCTTTCAAAAATTCCCATCCAATCACATGACTGCCTGGCTTTTAAGTCTATGGCTTGCCATCATCCCTGAAATTGCCCCAACTGTTTACAAGACCCCTATAACCTGCCCTTCCTTGCCTTTCACTACTTATATTCCACACAACTCAGCCACTCAGATTCTGAATACGTCTTCCTGTATCTACTTTTGCCAATTGTTCCCACTGCATGAATTACAAAACTTCCTTGGCTTAGGCTTGTGCTGATTCCCAGACCACAAACCTCTGTGTCACAAATCATACAGAGCCCTGCATTTCCCCTAGTACAACACTATTTAGCAGTAATTATTGAGTGTGTGTTTTCCCATAGATACTGTCCCAATGTCAAACACATAACACTGAAGAGTAGGAAGTACCAAGGGAGGGGAAAAGGCAATCAGCTTTGCCTCTGATCCATTTATAGGACTTAAGTGATCATAATACATATTATACATATTATCATCTTGACAGTAGATTGCTATGAACAAGGCCTATGACAGGAACAGACCATCGGTGGGGCCTCTCATCCTGGCATCCACAGTCATTTTAGTAATGCTTGTCTGCACTGTAGAAGGCTAACTGATGCTGAACCAAATTTCTAAGTCTTTTAAGTGTAGATTTTAAAGACTATGAATGATAGTCAAGCTTTTCAAAGTCAGTATTCTGGACTTAGTCAAACTGTTGACCACTCAGCCTTGTTAGTATTCCAATAACATGTAAAAGGAAAGTAACTTTTATTTTTGCTTATGTCAATTCTCCCAAGTGGGACTGAAATGGTTTAGGAGCTTGAAAGATTACTCATTCACACAATGGTCTTGTTTTAAAAAACAGACTTTTTGTGGCATTTTTTTCCACCACTTGCTTACCACCATATAGTCTTTAAAATCCCATGTGTGGGTATCAAGATCCATACAAAAGCACTTTACTGTCTCCAAACATCAACTAATTCTAGAAAAATAGCAAAAATCTGCTATAGTCAGCTTAACTTTAATAGTTGCTTTCCAAGTTTAAATACATAGTTTTGGAATTATACAAAATACCACTACTTGGCATGTCTTTAAATATTATACCTAAACAGGAAGTTACCAGTACTGGGAAACAAAGCCATGGTTCAACAAAGTAAATTAATGCAAACTTTCTCTTAAAGAGACTGCCAAATTGAGTAATTTTGAAAATCTACTTACTCTAAGACCTCAAGTAAAAATGTACTAGTTGATCATGGCTACTGTTTCTAACTTTTTTATATAGTACATTGATTCCAAAGCACTCAACTGTCTCACACTCCCCTGTATTTTAGTAGCCACTTTAGACCCATATTTTTTATTAATTATGCAGAAAGCATTTTACAGCCAGAGAATAACTGTATATTCATAAAGGGCTTTATAAAGGTCATACATTGAAATAAGAGGAGGTAATAGTATATAGAGGAAAAACCTATATCAAGGTAGTTCTTGATTGATCAAGGTAGTTCTAATTAGGAATAGGTTGATTAGAAGCAGTACTTAAATTTAGTTAGGAAGATGAACTACAACTTAAGAATGTCTGAAAAATTCTGCATGTATAGAATCTCAGCTGGTTATAGCTGCTAGAAAAAAGAAATAGTAGTTCTCAACTGGGGCGATTTTGCCCCATTGCCCTCACCTCATTTGGCAGTATCTGGAGACAATTTTGATTGTCACAACTGGGGGTGGTGGCAGTACTAATGAGACAGGGACTGTGGTGTAGTCAGAGTAGGGTGAGGGCCTCTGGAAAAAAGGCAACGCAAGATAATTACAGACAGAACAATGTAACAATGTGCAAAGAAGTCCCTATCAAAACTCTGTGTTAAGCATTATGCAAAGTCAGAGTCATACTAATTCTCTAGGGTAAAGACACCAGACTAGGAATATAGACGTTCTTCAGTGAGATCAGTTAAAAGCTCAAAAGGCCAGGAGCAACTTGGCCTGTAATGTTTGAGTGTTCCACAGATAGAGTATCTCAGCATAACTTGTGACTTTATTGCATCAATTAGATCATGACACTAAAATTTACCTTAGCCTGCTAAGAGACCCATCTTATTTTTAACTGTACCTATATACTGCTTCTTTTTCTAATCCTAATCAAGTAATCTGCAACTTAAGCAAAAGATTAATTTAGTAAGCAAGCCCAGCTATAAACATCCCAAAAAAGTTAAGAAGTAAGATTAACACACTCTTGCAAACAGCCAACAGCCCAGCCCACCTTGAGGGCAGGGCAGGTGGTCTTACAACAAGTCTGCACCCCTAGCTCTTTACCCCATCCCTGAAAATCCTCAACCGCGCATAAAACCCTTAGACAATAGCACCACCACACTCTCTCTTGTCCCCTCCTGGTGTGAGCCAGCTCTGTCCTCTCACTTTATCTCTAAATAAAAGCCTCTACCTTGCTCTCTACCTTGAGTGTTTGCAAAGTTCATTCTTCAGCTCCGTGAACAAGAACTGTGGCATCACTAATAATCTAAGTGGGTAGAGGCCATGGACGCTGCTAGTATCTTATAACGAGCAGAGCAGCCCCCCATGACACACAACCATCAGTCCAAAATGTCAACAGAGCCATGGAAGAGAAATCCGGATCTAAAAAGAACAGGTGTTTTTCTCTCAAAGTTTAAGAGAGGAAAGAAAGCATGGATTTTACTTCTAGAGTAAGGAACCAGGGGATAATTTCCAGACCTCTTTAGGAAGGCCTTAGTTTATGGGTTAACAATTAAAAGCAAAAGCTCATGTGTATTTAAAAATTAACTATGCTAGGATTATAGTAAGCTACCAGCAGAGACATTTAGCTGCCTGTATCTTAGGAAGCAGTTGGATTTACATTAAAACTTAAATGTCTGTGAAACAAGTAAAACAGCTTTTCAGAGTACCGGGATTACTACAGACTATTAAAACATGAGTTTAACATGGTATCATATATTAACCAGTCCTGGAATACAATTAAAAAAAATTTTTTTTGAGTGAGAGCATTCTAGAATAAAATCAATGTGCATCAAACCACTAGTTATTGATAATGACTAAATACTAATTCCAATGCTTCCTAATCTGGAACAAATTTTAGTTCAAGAATCTAAGCCTTTTATAAAACCTAAATGACACAATTCAATTTGTCAAAATCATCATGATAATCACTTAAGATTAGAATTTAAAAGTATGAAGAGGTCAGGGTATTACGACTCCCTCTACTGAAAATCATCCTGAAACCTGACATGCACTGATATTACAGGGTCTAACAAAGTAAAAGTACCTGTAGTACTCCTCTCAGTTTGAAGTAAAGTTGGTTTTTATGATGTCCTATGGAAAACCCTATTTTGAGTTTAGTGCTTTTTAAGTTACAAAGAACAAAAACATGCTGCTGGTAATCTTGCCCTATGGTACAGATGTTTGCCAAATAAAAAATTTTTAGTATTAATAGGAAAATAAGCAACTTACTGCATTATAAGGGGAAAATATGTAATTTCATTGTGCATCTCTCTTAAGAAAATGGCCTGATCTAGTGAGCCTTTGGCAACTGCCTCCAAATAGTCCCATTGTGTTCCATTTTTGCAATGGAAGGTATCAAAGGAATTTTATATAAAGGCTCTTTAATATCAAACATTAACCAAGCATAATACATCTAGAGACTGGCAATTACTTTTAATAGTTTACATTTTTGGTAAGATTTAATGTGGGCAGAAAATGTTACTTCAACTTTTTAAATTGTAAAGTATTACTATATACTTTGTTATGAGGCTAAATACACCTTACAAGGCTTATGAATTTACCAGTTAACTAAAATTTTCAATGACAGGATTTTGTATATTTCTTACTTTGAACTTCAATCATGTAATATACAATCATTTATGTGATGTCTGACATTAAGCTAAAGATACCAGAACATCCCTTTCAATTAGCTAAATTAGATATATGCCCTTATTTCTTTACTGTTTACCTAACAAGAGTGTAAAAAAAAAAGGTGATTTGGTTAATTATGGTAATCTTCAAACATCTGGCAGTCATCATTCATCATATTCTCCACTTTGAAGAATTCTAATTTCCAATGGTTAAGAAGCTTTAGATATAACTAACGAATATATGACCGTCATCTTAAAAATGATCATTCAGTGCTGTCGATGTAAGTTTTTCGGTTAGGCCTTATACCAAATTTCCTTTCTGCCTTAGTTTCATAAAATGACCTTACCTCTAAGTACAGCCCCATATTGAGCTGTCTTTAAAAAGAAATGAGGTAGATCTGAGCAATTTACATGTCCTGAAGAAAATCAGCAAATAGCTATTTTCTTATTATGAACTTGTAAATCTGAGACACCCACAGATGGAGAATTGCTAAGGACAACTTTCTAATAATGCTTCAAAGACCAGTGAGAAATGAGTGGCAGAGTAGGACTGGACACCACACATTCCAACTTCCATTCCAGTGTCAGGACATCACCACAGAAGTATGGAGTTAATCCATATGATTCAGCATTTAAAATCTGAGTATTCTTCTGTTACTAATTTTGTTATGTATGTGAATATATGTAATCACTAAAATCTTGTGTACTACTAGAAAAGAGCAGACTATTTCATTTGTATTAAAAAAACTAACAGTCATCTAAGACTCAAAAAAATGAAGACAAAAAAACAAGAACAAAAAATACCCCAAACCCACTCACCTTGGAAGTTAAAAAAAAAAATCCAATACATGCAAAGCATTTGGATTTAACTTTAGACAATTAACTAAGACATTCACACAATATATGCATGTCAGTCTCCTATTTGGTCCTAGAGCCTGCAGTATTGTAATTTATTGTGAAACCATGTAACCAAATGCTTAAATATATCCACAACATCTATAACCACAGTAATGCATAGTACAATATACTAATATCTCAAAATAAAATGTCTATTACAATTTTATGCAAATTATGGTATAACATTACCACCTGCCACATTTTGAAATGGCACCAACTTCATGTAACGTTCCATGTCAATGTAAATAGTCAAAATCCTTACTGGTAATGATGTCTTATGCATTATCTGAACATTCAAAATCACACTGTTAATCTAATAACCATAGTATGTTATCAATTAAAATCACTGCATATTTGGATGTTAAAGCAGGTAAGTTATACAGCAGGAAAAGTATTTCCAATTCACAGTTTCAAAAATAAAGGGTGCAGTTTTCAAATATCTGACTGCTTAAAATTGGTCACTCAATTTAACAACTGCTTCCTTCAATACATGTAAACTGTGTTTGCACAGCATTAGGAGATGTCTTTTATTTCAGAAGTTAGTTCATACTGATACAGGAGCACCACAAATTTGAAGGAAGAGGCTACAGTGTGAAGTGAGTTCATTGAAGGAATGTTAAATAAAATTTTAACTACAATAAAAGGTACTGCAAAGCTTTGTTCCCCCACAGACCCCTTAATCAGGAAAAGTAGTCAGATACAATATGTAAATCAGCTCTACTAAAGAGGGGGAAAAATCTAACTCAACTAAAAGAAATACTATTATTAGCCAACAGATGTATGACAGCCAGCTTCAGGGTTTTTGTAAAAATAAAATTCAAAAGCATACATAGTTTTTGTATCCTTCAATACGGAATGCAGAGATCCAAAGGGAATGAAAGAAAAATCTGGCTTTAAGAATTTCTAAGCGGAAACACGCACACAAATGGATAACTGAGGAAAACTCAAAACTTAAATATTCAAATTTTCAATGTGTAAGAAAATTTGTAATAGAAAAAGTGGCAAATTGTTATTATGACTTGATCTGCTGAAAACATCTGCAAATTCACACTGGCATTAAGAAAACCAAAGGTTGAAAAATTTACTCCCCTCTCTCTCCAGATATGTGTTTTCTGTGCAAAAATAAATATCTGAAAATTGCACTAATACGATAATACTTATTTTAGCTTCTGTATTATGAATAATCTGCACATGCTGCTTTACAGACAATACATATTTGTAAACTTGCTCATGCAAAATTAGTGTGCGCAACAGGGATACTGTTTTAATCCCCATATTTAAAAAATGATCTTTTTTAAAACTGCCAAACCCTCTGAAATGTAACAAATTTTACACAGATATTCTTGTCTGCCAGCTAAATATCAATTTATGCTGCTGAAACAAAAAGTTACACAAGAAAAAGAAACATGGTTTTTGTCTTGCAGAATTTGATTTTTTTAAATAAGAGAAAATTTATAAAAGGAGAATTCATGGTCACAAAATTTTAACATTTTGATCCTAAACATTACAGGGCAAATAGAATCTGGACCCTATTGCCATACTGCATAAACCCTAACTTTTAGTTTCCACATCAAATGTTGCCCTAACCACTAAAAACATTAGTGGTTTTACAACCTCTGGATTATGTAAATACATATTTCTGAAATAAATGCTACAAAAACAATGGAAGAAAGCCAAACTGTCTCCATGAAGGGAAAAAAGTGGAATATTTAGATGCTTTTAAACACTTCTCTTTCCATGTCTTATGATTAACCTGTCAATTCAGTGCATCATCTGGTCCATGTAATGGTCCTGTGTTGAACAAACATCTAACTAGTGTCCATTGACTCCAAGTTAGTGGATGACGAATCTTTCTGGATACTTTCAAAGATCGCCGCCAGCTCAGGGTTGGAGCTGATCTGTGACTGGAATTCGCTCATCAGGGGGCTCTTCTCTGCTTCCGGAATGGTAAGCAGCGCTGCCACTGCTCGCATGGCAGATCGCTTCAGTTCATCCTGCTTTTCAAACTCCTGCTTTACTGAGTTTGCCTTTACCTGTAACATGGAGTAAATCAGTACTACATGCTGTAAGAGTTTTATGAACAAAATTTAAACAGAGAAGGTTCTAGTAAATAAAGTTACTCTTTCATAGGTCCAAAAGGCACCTTATACTCTCAGCATGGGTATTCTAAAACTTCCTTTTAGCAGTACCAGTCTCCTTTCCTCCGAAGGGAGTATTGTATACAAAGGCCACTATAAAAACAAACTACAGCATCATCATAGTTGGAATAGAGAGTGGGGCCCAGAGAGCTTTATCTACTTAGCAAGTCCTACTCTGGCCTCCCCCAAAACATACTCCTCCAGCTACCCTGTTTATTATTCTTCAAATGTCATGACATCTCCAAGCATTAATTCATGTAATTATTTTTATATGAAAAGCCCTTTTCACATTGTGAATCTGAAAATAATTCTGACTTTTCTGGGTCCATCTTAAATAACATCACACTCATATGAAGCCCTCTTTTGTGGCCCTATCACACTTTTATCACGTATCAGTACTTCAAAACATGTATCACACTGCTGTACCATTAAAACTTCTAAAAAATTTAGCACAGTTAAATGCTGTTCTTAAAACATTCATATTCAATAGGTTCACTTTTAAAACCAACAGCTACATAGGGCAATACTGTGGTTAAATTTGGAAAAAACATAAAATCAAATAGAAATCCTGAATACTTCAAGTCTGGCCTAAGTTGATATCTCTCAATGATTACCTTAGTGGTACATGTGGCACGTAAGGGCTCGACAAGTCGGTCCAGCCTCTGTAGTACTGCACTAGGACAAAGGGTGGAGAGTCTCACCAACATGAGAAATGTTAGCATCTGGTAGGAATAAAAAAAGACAAAATTCCAAATTCTCACAAAGCTTTCAAAAGGAAAATGACTAGCATGTACCAGAAAGCTTCATTTTAATGTAATCTGCCATTTGGAATTACACAGATTTGTCAAACCTTAGCTGAGGAATTTTAGTCCCAAGTACTAATGAGACTTATAACATGATCCTATAGTACAGAAGTAGAAATGTGGTTCTCAGTCTTTGCTGCACATTAAGGTAAGGAGCTTTAGAAATATACCCATTCTTCAGCCATGTTCTGCAGAACAGTCCTAAAGACAGCCAATGAGAATTAGCCAAGACAAGGATGGAAAACCAAGTAAAACCTCCATGGATAGTAACTACAGTCCAATATTAAGAAAGACCAAAAAAGGTCACAGATTATACTTTGAATAGTATAAGCATAAATTTGTCTGGACTCTTCAAAGAAATGATCTAGGGATTATGCATTAGAAGCTAGCACACATCATTTCTTAGAATTTTCTACACATTTAGACTTTGATTTCTTCCTCCACTGAAAAGGTTACTCAATTTTTTTTATGTCAACTGACATTACACTGCATCACTCATACTTCTGCATATTATAGTTTATAATACTAAAATTATGACAAGCAAACCAGTTTTTCTCTTAATAATTAAGAGAGTAAATTACAAACTTACTATAGTATCTTCTAAAACATTCTACAAGCAAGCACAAACATCTTACCTTAATATCATAATGGTCCTTCAAACCATCTTCAACATGATTTAAAAATTCAAAGATATCTAGTCTATCAAGACAACTGTCTAGAAGCGTGTACATACACTCAAAAGCTGCCTTTCTGATATCCAGTCCATCATCAACTGTATGCTTAAATGGACCCATTTCTACCTGTTGGAACAAAAAAGAATGTGTGGATATACTTAAAAGCAAAAGACCAGCTTAGATAAACAGTGTGTGATCTAACAAACTTACCTCTCTTATGAGTTCCTTCCTAACTTTTGTTTCATTGTAGAGATGTGGAAGAACAGCATCTAGAAGATCCCTTATTAATGATGGCTTATTATGCGCTGCTGAATTGAATGTGACCAAGGCTACTCTTCTTACATTCAAATCCGGGTCTTCCAACGTTTTTAGGAAATCACCTGAAAAATTACAAATAACACACAGTTATGGTAAGCTTAAATAAAATACACATTATATTTTTTTCTAAACTGATAGTATTTCATATTCTTCCATGACCCATACTGAAGAAATACCAATTATCAACAATAATAAACTATGTGAACTATACAGATAAGTATCTTTTGGCAACAGGTAAACTATCATATCTGATTCTGAGTGGATTTAAACGATAACCTATTCTTGGGACCTAGAATGCAATGGGTACAGCATGAGAGCCCAAAAAAGTTGCCTGGTTAGTTTTACAGATACTTCATAAAGGCACATGTGATGGAGTCAGCAGCCATAAGAACTAATCAATTGAATGAAACTTTGAGTTCAAAATTAGTACTTGCACTAAAAGCAACCGAAACAGAACTGAAAAACTGAGTTCAAAATAAGATAAAGAAGTTAAAGACAGATCCATTGCTGGATAAAGACGGAATACCATTACCAAGTATACAATTTATCAGATGATAAAAAGAAATGTGTCTCTAAAAGCCCTCTTTATTTCTGTCCTAAACGAGAAATATGTGAACTTGTAAGAGTTAAGAATTCAAAAGGAGGAAACGGAAACCTAATATAAGACAGACAACAAGGTAAAGAAAACACCTTGTTACTTTAAAAACAAGTCTGGTTCTTCTTGCAAATATGGAGAAGTGCAAAGATCTAAGGAGTCACACAGGTGGTGATCCAAATGCTTTACTTATCCACTGTATAACTTTTGGCAAGAGCCTGTTTTGCAGTTCATAAAATGAGAATTATAAACTTTTTATGGCTACTGAGCAAAATGAATAGCATGTATATTGTTGAACACAGTGCCTAGTACACACCTGGTTGTCACATGGAAAAAATTTATAAAAGGAGAATTCATGGTCACAAAATTTTAACATTTTGATCCTAAACATTACAGGGCAAATAGAATCTGGACCCTATTGCCATACTGCATAAACCCTAACTTTTAGTTTCCACATCAAATGTTGCCCTAACCACTAAAAACATTAGTGGTTTTACAACCTCTGGATTATGTAAATACATATTTCTGAAATAAATGCTACAAAAACAATGGAAGAAAGCCAAACTGTCTCCATGAAGGGAAAAAAGTGGAATATTTAGATGCTTTTAAACACTTCTCTTTCCATGTCTTATGATTAACCTGTCAATTCAGTGCATCATCTGGTCCATGTAATGGTCCTGTGTTGAACAAACATCTAACTAGTGTCCATTGACTCCAAGTTAGTGGATGACGAATCTTTCTGGATACTTTCAAAGATCGCCGCCAGCTCAGGGTTGGAGCTGATCTGTGACTGGAATTCGCTCATCAGGGGGCTCTTCTCTGCTTCCGGAATGGTAAGCAGCGCTGCCACTGCTCGCATGGCAGATCGCTTCAGTTCATCCTGCTTTTCAAACTCCTGCTTTACTGAGTTTGCCTTTACCTGTAACATGGAGTAAATCAGTACTACATGCTGTAAGAGTTTTATGAACAAAATTTAAACAGAGAAGGTTCTAGTAAATAAAGTTACTCTTTCATAGGTCCAAAAGGCACCTTATACTCTCAGCATGGGTATTCTAAAACTTCCTTTTAGCAGTACCAGTCTCCTTTCCTCCGAAGGGAGTATTGTATACAAAGGCCACTATAAAAACAAACTACAGCATCATCATAGTTGGAATAGAGAGTGGGGCCCAGAGAGCTTTATCTACTTAGCAAGTCCTACTCTGGCCTCCCCCAAAACATACTCCTCCAGCTACCCTGTTTATTATTCTTCAAATGTCATGACATCTCCAAGCATTAATTCATGTAATTATTTTTATATGAAAAGCCCTTTTCACATTGTGAATCTGAAAATAATTCTGACTTTTCTGGGTCCATCTTAAATAACATCACACTCATATGAAGCCCTCTTTTGTGGCCCTATCACACTTTTATCACGTATCAGTACTTCAAAACATGTATCACACTGCTGTACCATTAAAACTTCTAAAAAATTTAGCACAGTTAAATGCTGTTCTTAAAACATTCATATTCAATAGGTTCACTTTTAAAACCAACAGCTACATAGGGCAATACTGTGGTTAAATTTGGAAAAAACATAAAATCAAATAGAAATCCTGAATACTTCAAGTCTGGCCTAAGTTGATATCTCTCAATGATTACCTTAGTGGTACATGTGGCACGTAAGGGCTCGACAAGTCGGTCCAGCCTCTGTAGTACTGCACTAGGACAAAGGGTGGAGAGTCTCACCAACATGAGAAATGTTAGCATCTGGTAGGAATAAAAAAAGACAAAATTCCAAATTCTCACAAAGCTTTCAAAAGGAAAATGACTAGCATGTACCAGAAAGCTTCATTTTAATGTAATCTGCCATTTGGAATTACACAGATTTGTCAAACCTTAGCTGAGGAATTTTAGTCCCAAGTACTAATGAGACTTATAACATGATCCTATAGTACAGAAGTAGAAATGTGGTTCTCAGTCTTTGCTGCACATTAAGGTAAGGAGCTTTAGAAATATACCCATTCTTCAGCCATGTTCTGCAGAACAGTCCTAAAGACAGCCAATGAGAATTAGCCAAGACAAGGATGGAAAACCAAGTAAAACCTCCATGGATAGTAACTACAGTCCAATATTAAGAAAGACCAAAAAAGGTCACAGATTATACTTTGAATAGTATAAGCATAAATTTGTCTGGACTCTTCAAAGAAATGATCTAGGGATTATGCATTAGAAGCTAGCACACATCATTTCTTAGAATTTTCTACACATTTAGACTTTGATTTCTTCCTCCACTGAAAAGGTTACTCAATTTTTTTTATGTCAACTGACATTACACTGCATCACTCATACTTCTGCATATTATAGTTTATAATACTAAAATTATGACAAGCAAACCAGTTTTTCTCTTAATAATTAAGAGAGTAAATTACAAACTTACTATAGTATCTTCTAAAACATTCTACAAGCAAGCACAAACATCTTACCTTAATATCATAATGGTCCTTCAAACCATCTTCAACATGATTTAAAAATTCAAAGATATCTAGTCTATCAAGACAACTGTCTAGAAGCGTGTACATACACTCAAAAGCTGCCTTTCTGATATCCAGTCCATCATCAACTGTATGCTTAAATGGACCCATTTCTACCTGTTGGAACAAAAAAGAATGTGTGGATATACTTAAAAGCAAAAGACCAGCTTAGATAAACAGTGTGTGATCTAACAAACTTACCTCTCTTATGAGTTCCTTCCTAACTTTTGTTTCATTGTAGAGATGTGGAAGAACAGCATCTAGAAGATCCCTTATTAATGATGGCTTATTATGCGCTGCTGAATTGAATGTGACCAAGGCTACTCTTCTTACATTCAAATCCGGGTCTTCCAACGTTTTTAGGAAATCACCTGAAAAATTACAAATAACACACAGTTATGGTAAGCTTAAATAAAATACACATTATATTTTTTTCTAAACTGATAGTATTTCATATTCTTCCATGACCCATACTGAAGAAATACCAATTATCAACAATAATAAACTATGTGAACTATACAGATAAGTATCTTTTGGCAACAGGTAAACTATCATATCTGATTCTGAGTGGATTTAAACGATAACCTATTCTTGGGACCTAGAATGCAATGGGTACAGCATGAGAGCCCAAAAAAGTTGCCTGGTTAGTTTTACAGATACTTCATAAAGGCACATGTGATGGAGTCAGCAGCCATAAGAACTAATCAATTGAATGAAACTTTGAGTTCAAAATTAGTACTTGCACTAAAAGCAACCGAAACAGAACTGAAAAACTGAGTTCAAAATAAGATAAAGAAGTTAAAGACAGATCCATTGCTGGATAAAGACGGAATACCATTACCAAGTATACAATTTATCAGATGATAAAAAGAAATGTGTCTCTAAAAGCCCTCTTTATTTCTGTCCTAAACGAGAAATATGTGAACTTGTAAGAGTTAAGAATTCAAAAGGAGGAAACGGAAACCTAATATAAGACAGACAACAAGGTAAAGAAAACACCTTGCTACTTTAAAAACAAGTCTGGTTCTTCTTGCAAATATGGAGAAGTGCAAAGATCTAAGGAGTCACACAGGTGGTGATCCAAATGCTTTACTTATCCACTGTATAACTTTTGGCAAGAGCCTGTTTTGCAGTTCATAAAATGAGAATTATAAACTTTTTATGGCTACTGAGCAAAATGAATAGCATGTATATTGTTGAACACAGTGCCTAGTACACACCTGGTTGTCACATGGAGTTATTGTTCATCATTATGTAACCTTAACTCTACCATCAGCAATCTTTTAGAATACACAGGGAAAAGACTTCTTTTTTCCAGAAGACTTGAATGTATTGTAACAACAATCGGAAAAAAGGAAGGACAGAAATACTTTAGATACCACAGATTGGTAAAATCAAGGCTGACCACCCAGGAGAGCTCTTATTACAAAAAAAAAAAAAAATGTAGCCAATAACTTGGTTTCAAAAAGAATAAATGTATCAGACTAAACCTCCTCACCCCTGTTTGCTTAGAATTACTAAGGCAGCAAATTATAATACTTTATTCTAAACATTATGTATCTAATTTCAGAAAAGCATCTAAAATACTGCTATTATGATATACAAATGGGGACATGAACTACTATCAGTGGTCCCCAACTCCTTGGTTTAGAAATTGCAATTCTGAAAGATTCCTAGGTAGTTCTGATGTTCATACAGTCTCAAATAATACTGAACTACTATTATGCAAAGAGAGTGATAATCATCTGATCAAATAACTATACCAGTGATGCACACTGGCTGACTGTTGTCAGCCTGGAAAGATGTCTCTAGATACGTGGCACAGGTCTCTTCCCTGGTCCTACCTTGTATAATACCAAAAATGCAAATAAATATATCAAAGCAAAAAACAGATTAGGGGAACAAAGACAAGCATCTTCTGACTGAGACTCTGTTTGTATTATTTCCAGGTCCACCAATTGTATGCATTTATCCTTGTGTG